GTGTTTGAGAGTCAAAAACTGACGCTGGTAGCTCCCAGCAATAAAAGAAACAAAAATTACAAGCATGCCCCTAGTAGCCCACCCTAATAATAAGAACTTAAATAAAGAAAAGAACATGCTGACAGCATCCTAGACTGACAATACCTTAACAGTAAAAAAAAAAAAAAAAAAAAAAAAAAAAAAAAAAAACTAATTCTAACAACAGTTCTCATATTCCCATTGCTAGGAGAGGGACGGTTAGGGTGACGGCATTACTTTGTCCTCTATTTTACATGTGTCCTAGACTTCACACTAATCTTTTTTCTATGAGTAGTCTGACAAAAAATTTGAACTCTTCAGTGACTTTTCTTTTAGGTACTTGTGTTTTGTAAGATCTAGAGTCAAAGAGGACAACTGGGAATGGTCGAGAGGTGAACGGTGTCTACCTTCTAGATGAACTTCCAAGACATCAGAGCCACCGTGTTAATAGCAGTAGTAGTGGGTCAGAGTTAGTGAGTTAGATTATGCTTTGGCATAATCATTTGGGTCATCTTTCCTTCAGTTCATTAAGATGTTTGTTTCTAAAATTGCTTGTCTGTTCGTTTATCTAGTCTTAAGTGTGAAAGTTGTCAGTTGGGAAAGTATTGTAAACATTCTTTTAAACCAAGTAATAAAAGAAGTTCTGCTTTTGATATTGTCGACACTAATGTATGGGGACCTTATCATATTTTTTCCCTAAATTCTATGTCTATACCTAAGGATGCTAGTGAGGCTCTCTCCAAACCTAAGTGGAGAACAACTATGCAAGAAGAGATGGAGGCTTTGATTAAGAATTAGACATGGGATATAGTTGATCATCTTGTAGAAAAAGAGACAGTTGGATGTAGATGGATGTTCACTATGAAGAACAGGGTTGAATGCAGCATAAAGAGGTACAAGGCAAGGTTGGCTGTAGAAGGGTATACACAAATCAATGGTATAGATTATCTGGAGACCTTTTGCACTAGTAGCTAAGATGAGTTCAATTTAGATCCTCTTGTCTCTAGCAGCTACTTACTCATGGCCACTCTTCTAGCTTGACGTTAAAAATGCTTTCCTTAATGGTGGTTTGCAGAAGGTGTATATGGATCTTCCAGTTATTTTCTATGATGATGTTGGTGAGGGAAAAACTTGCAAGTTGAAGAAATCATTATATGGTTTGAAACAGTCACCTAGGGCATGATTTGATAAGTTTAGATGGGCATTGATCCATTTTGGATACACAAAAACCCAATTAGAGATCACACTCTCTTTATGAAGAGGAGAAAATCACTTGTGTCAGTACTGATTGTGTATGTGAATGATATAGATGCTACCAAGGTTCAAAGTATCGATACGATACAAGTTTCGGTCGTATCGTATCGGTACTTAGAAACGGCCGAAACTATTTTTTTTTTAGGTTTTTTTTTCACATTTTGGTTTTTTGGGAAGCTTTTAGCATGCTTTTTATTATTAAAAAAATCGGGGGTCTAAAACCCTGGAAACAGGCATTTCGGACCGTATCAGGCGTATCGTATTGATACTTTGAAACCATGGTTGCTACCATGGTTTTAAAAGGCTATTGAGGCAAGGCCAAAGGCCTAAGCCTCAAAGAAAGGCTGACCAAAAAGGCCTAGCCTCAATAGCCTTTGTCTCCATTGCCAAGGCTTAGGCCTTGAGTTGTTAGAGGCCTGCGCCTTTAAGCCTTTAGCCTTGTGATGTGCAAGGCCCAAGGTTTAAATAAGGACATTTTTTTGGAAATATTGTTAACGGGAGTCACTATTAAATTATATATATATATATATATATATATATATATATATATATATATATATGTGTGTGTGTTATTGGGTTGAGGGGTACGTACCACAAAAAATTANATATATATATATATATATATATTGGTATTCCTTATTTTAAGGACTTATCTCCTTTTTGCAATTAAGTGCAAAAATGAGATAAGTCCTTAAAATAAGGAATGCCAAATGCAGCCATAGTAATCTACCAAACTTAAGTTTATGCCATTAAAGAGTCCACAACCTCCTTAAGAACTTATTCACTAAAAGACAAAGCAATAAGCTTTAACAATTCAACATATTGAACTATTATCAAATGACCCCTAAGTTACCTCATCCAAATAACTTCTTTGTGGACTATGTAGCTAAAATTAAAAGTCTAAAACAAACCAATGGAACTACAAATCAATTTATTTTATCTATAGTGGAGCTACAAAGAATAAACAAACCTCGGTGCTTTTAGACCACAATGAGAAAAAAACCAAGGAATAAAGTATTAGAGAAAATAATGAAAAAAGTAATAAGTTTGGCACTTTGTATATACTTCGTCCCTAGATCAAGTCAAATTCAGGTTGGGTTGGGTAATGTAAATCTAGAAAAAATAACTTATATTTCCTTCATTTGTTTTTTCTAATAATATAAATACATAGTTTTTATTTTTTTTTTCTTTTGTTCGAGGTTTACGCCTCAAAACGCCTTGAGGCTTAGGCCTCGCCCCTTTCACACCCAACCTCCTCGCCTCCGCCTTTAATCATTTAAAACCTTGGTTGTTACAAAGTGATCTGAGTGAGATTGATACACTCAAGAAGTCACTGCAGCAAGAATTTGAAATTAAGGATCTAGGTGAACAAAAATATTTTCTAGGGATTGAGGTTGCAAGATCCAAACATGAGATATTCATCTTTCAGAGGAAGTATGTATTGGACCTACTGTAGGAAACTTGGAAGCTATGAATTAAACTAACCGATACTCCTATTGATCCGAACCACAGGATTAATGCTTTATATGGCAAGTTGGTTAAGGATGTGAGGAGATATCAGAGGATGGTAGGTCAACTACTATATTTGTGCAACACGCCCAAACATTTCCTATGTTGTGAGTGTTGTGAGTCCGTATACGCATGCTCCTCAGGTTCAGCACTAGGAAGCCATTGATAGGATACTTGCATACCTAAAGAAACATTGCACCAAAGGAATTTTATTCACAAATAATGGGAATTTGAAACTAGAGTCCCATACAAATGCAGATCGGGTAGGTTGTCTAGATGATAGGATATCCACATCAGGGGTATGCACCTTTGTGGGAGGAAATCTAGTTTCATGAAAAAGTAAAAAATAGTTAGTGGTGGCATGATCAAGTGTAGAAGCCAAATATAGATCTATGGCCCATAGTGTTTCAGAATTACTTTGGGTTAGATCCTTGCTAAGTGAGATTGGGATAGATGCCGTTGAGTCCATGATGTTATATTGTGACAACCAAGTTGTAATCAATATTGCCCACAATTCAGTTTAGCATGACAGGACAAAGCACATTGAAGTTGATAAACACTTCATAAGAGTAAGGGTGATAGCCAGAGAGGTCTGTCTGCCTTATGTCTCCTCTGAATTATAGTTAGTTAATGTCTTCACCAAAGGGATTGCAAAGAACAAGCTTGAACATGACCTACGCAAGTTGGGAATGTGTGACTTTTACTCCCAACTTAAAGGGGAGTGTTGAGGATTTTGTGTAGTTTTGTGAGTTAATTTTGTTTACATAGGGAGTGGGGACCATAGCATACTTGTTGGAACCCTTTGGAGTGGTGTTTTTGAGTTTTTTTATTGAGCTTTTGCATTAGCTACCTTATAAGGGCATATTAGTCATTGTATTTATTTTTACTTATAACTCAACTATATTCTATAAGAACATAAGCACTGAAAATATATCAAAAGAAAATCCGAAAATATATTCAGACATTTTAAATTCAATCCCGTGAGCAAAAATTAAAAAAAAAAAAAAATATGCAAATATATCAAAAGAAAGTGAAAATAGTGATAATGGTGATGATAATCAGTCACATTAAGAGAGAGTGAGTGAGTGTGTGTGTGTGTGCACGTGCATGCGTTACCTGCTGCCAAGTGGTGAATAGGGTTTTTGTAAAGAGACTTCAAGAAGGAAAGTTTATAGAGTGTGTTACTTGCTACCGTAAGTGTGGAAAAGCAAAAGTTATAGAAGAAGAAGAGGCTACCCACATTAGATCAGGGGAGTTCACTTGCCGGCAGTGGACTTGCCTGTCAATGGAGGAGACCTCTCTTTCACCCCAAAACTCTTTTGTTTCCTTCCAGTGTGCGAGAGAAAGTAGCATCCGATGTTCGTTTTGTTTTTGGCTTCTCAAGACAATCGCAGAACAAATCCTAACCATTAATAATATTTTAATTCACCTTATTAAATATTATTTTATTTTTATTCTATGCAAGTGTCAGTAATCCATAGCGATGGATATAATTAACCGCTACCGCTGCTACAAGGACACATATAGAGGCATTTACTCAAGCACCGCTAAATCATTTGCTGCTATATGATACTTATAGCAACAAAATTGTATATCCACTGCAATTCCATTCTTAGCCAACTCATTGGCAATGGCATTCATCTTCCTCAAAATAGCCTCATCTAATTGAGCAAGTGGACTAACCTCCAAATCCCTCCCCAAGCTCCTCATCCATCAAATGCCATTGGTAGACAGGTGGAGATCCCTAGTTTCTACAGAGATGAGGTTTCTAGCAGTGGCATCTTCAACATAAACATGGAGCCCTAGACAGGTAGAGATCCAGCACACCAATTCAGCCTCCTCAAAGTCCTATTAGAATTCCCACACACCAATCATTTCTTCTGTAAATATTGAAAAATGTTGCTAAAGATGGCTTAAATCCATAACTCCGATTGGTGCAAATAGTAAACCATTTCTTGGATGGATTATAGCACCAGTCATTGTTTTCTGACTGATGCTTTTTTGGCTCTTCTAGTTTTTCTTGCTTACCATCCAAATAGTATAGCTCCACCAAGAAGCGGCCCAATGTTTGGATTTTCTGGATGAGTGAGCACTTTAGCCATGTCAACATAACAAGATTGAATGCAGTAAGGGGGGTGGTCTAGTAACCAACTAAAAGAGCAATTTTTTTTAATCAAGGTCTAACCGAAATGACAACAGAGAAGAAAAGTTGACAACCATTGCACATGATAATTTTATTTGATTCTACTATGCGTCCACATTAGTTTTTAATCCCATACCTGAGGCATGTTATGAGATTAAATAGAAAGTACCACAATTCTAGGTTTGAATCTTAAAATGAAAAAATTTTTACAGGTTGAACATAGAAAGAAGGTACATGGAAAGCCATGTTTCAATCTGAAACTACGAAAGCAAAAAAAAAAACTATGAATGATTAAAAATACATGCCTTCAAAGCCAAATAAACACAAGTAGGAGGGAAAATTCAAATAGCCTTGAATGTTCAAGGTTCTAAACTCAACGTTTTGAAAACTGTGGGGCTTTACGAGCCTTCTTGAGACCAGCTTTCTTCCTCTCAACAACTCTTGAGTCTCTGGTCAGAAGACCTTCTTTCCTAAGAGGCACCCTATGGTTCTCGCTCACTTTTAGCAAAGCACGAGCAATACCAAGAGAAATTGCTTGAGCCTGACCAGAGAGACCACCCCCATGAGCTTTAACAAACACATCATAGCTGCTTTCATAGCCTAAGGTTACCAAAGGGACTTTGACATATTGTAGCCATAAGGGATTCCCCTGAAGATATTCCTGCACAGCATCAGAAACCCAAGAATAAGTCTAAAGGAATACATTATCAAGTACATTTGATAAGCAAATGGCATATAGATTCCAGAAACCATGAAAGACAAATTCATTAACATGATTGTAAACGTAAATTCAAAAAGATGTTCAAATTTTAATCCTTAAAACATCAAATACTGGTTTAAAACCTGCCTCACTCACAATTTTATGATATAAGATTTGCCTCAATTCATTCAACACCAAATTTCCAACATAAAACATATAATGTGACATTAAGTGGGTAAAACCGAATCAGCACTTTAGTTACCTGGTTTGGTGATTTCAATTCAGGTTTGTGGTTCACAATTCATCAGTTTTTACAGAACCTAGTTCAATATTTTTTTATCAATAACAAAATTTTTCATTAAGAAAATAGGGAGTACAATGAAATCGGGGGAAAGGTAAACTTTCTTAACCCTCCCCTAGGAAAAACAAAAAACAAGATTACAACATAGCCCAAAACATTTGATCCCTTCCCACCCTTTGCTTAGCAAGAGTGTCCTCAAAGGAGTTCGCACTTCTCTTTACCCACTGCAACTGAATTTCCAACCCTTGTGCTAGCCGGTTGAACAATTTTTTTTTCATTAGCAAGCTTCCATAGACCATTCTCTTCTTTTTGCAACCAACCTATAACCATTTTTAAGTCCCCTTCAACAATGGGCTTACAACAGTTCAGCTCCTAAGCCTTTTCATCCCATCCATCACTGCCAAAATCACAGCCGGAGTGAGCCACCAACACCAATAGGATAGGAAAATAAAGCAATGACTCTCCCGCCTTCATCCCTAAAGGTTCCTCCAATGCCAAACGGCCCTGGATTACCTTCACTGCTGCCATCAAATTTCAGTTTGACAAAACTAGAAGTTGGTGGAGACCAAAGGGGGCTGATCTTGGTTATTGCAAGGTGTTGGGGGAAAACTTTTTAAGTATAATTTTTCACATAACATAATTCACCCAATTAGATTAATAACTGTTTTTTTTGTTATTTGGATAAGCCCCATTCAAAAAATCACGTAGATATTCCCTTAATTACATCTCTACTAGGGGCAGAGAAAACCTTTTGATTTTAATTCAGAAGTAAAGATGAATAGACTAAACTAAGTATCGTTTTTCTACAGAGGAAAATTCTGATATATGTTCCCTCTTTGTTTGAGAGAAAACCAACAAATATAAATAAACTTTCTGTACATAACAGGTAAATAGGTATCATAAATAGTCATGTTTCATAAATAAGGCTACAAATGGCCTTTAAATGGTGGTTATGTGCATTATCATGGTGTGAGAACCTTTTGATTGTAATTCAGAAGTACAAATGAATAGACTAAACTAAGTATCATTTTTCAACAGAGAAAAATTCTGGTATATGTCCCCTCTTTGTTTGAGAGAAAACTAACAAATATAAATAAACTTTCTATACATAACAAGTAAATAGGTATCATAAATAGTCATATTTCATAAATAAGGCTACAAATGGCCTTTAAATGGTGGTTATGTGCATTATCATGGTGTGAGGAACCATAATCAGCCAAGTTTCATGAACAAGGTTGTAGATGGTTTTCCCCCTCACACATAAGTTAATATGATGTAAGGAACCATAATCAGCCANGTTGTAGATGGTTTTCCCCCTCACACATAAGTTAATATGATGTAAGGAACCATAATCAGCCAAGTTTCATGAACAAGGTTGTAGATGGTTTTCCCTATCACACATAGGTTAATATGCTGTGAGAAACCATAATCAGCCAAGTTTCATGAACAAGGTTGTAAATGGTTGTCTCCCTCACATATAATTAAAAGTGAGACAAGGAAAAAGAAAAATAATAATAACAATAAGGAAAGGAAGTGTGAAAGGAGTATAAGGAAAGACATAGGTCTAATAGAAGAAGTTGTAAGAGTATCAGAGGTGGAAGAGGAATACTGCAATCCCTACCTTCTTCTTTCTCCTCATTTTCCTTTTATTCCACACCCCAATCTTCTTTTCTTTCTCCTTTGGTTTGTCTCTTGTTGCTATAAATTCTATTAACTAAATAGCATTAGCCAACAAGATGGCATTAGCCCCTTCTCCTTGTAGGAGAGGGATTTATATAGAGGAGGGAGGTGATTAAGTAACTCCCCACCCCTCTCTTCTTAGGGTGTCAAGTGTCACCCCACTTAAAATAGGTTAAGGAGGGAAAAGAAAACTCCTCCTTCCTAACGGACAACTGTTGGTTAGAGGAGGAAAAATAACTCTCTCCCTTATGGTGACTTGTGTCCCTCTATTTCAAGTGGTTAAGGGAGGGAAAATAAATCCTTCTTCCTAGGGTGACATGTGTCCCCCCACTTAAAGTGGTTAGAGGAGGGAAAATAACTCTCTTCCCTAGGGTGACATGTGTCCACCCCCACTTCAAGTGGTTAAAGGAGGGAAAATAGCCCTCTTGTTAGAGTAGGACAAGTGGCATCCCCATTATAAATAAGTGGGACACCTCACAAAATTATTAATTAACAAAAATAATTTTTTTTAGGGCTTGTTGTCCCATTAAATGGGCTCTACTACAGGCCCATTAAATGCTTATTGCATTACAAATAAGACTCAATTAAGGCGGTGTTTTGTATGGCTTCTTTTTATTTGATAAACGGTGCCATGTCATCACCAAATCAGCATTTATCCCATCATGCCAATTCGTACTCATAGGTATTGATAAAAGTTGGCCTTGATTTATGTGTGCGCCAACCGTTAGGGGAAGCTTCATTTTAACGCTTCCCCCAACGGTTAAGCATTTATTCACTGTTCCACTAATGTGGTGCCTAGTTGTCAATAAACAGTTTATCAAGTACTTTTATTGGTTTTGAACACAAATCAAGTACAAACGTTTATTTAATAAATGGAAGATATACCAAACACATACTAACTTAGAGTCTATTGTTCACTAAACTAGATTGTAGGTCCCTTTCTTTCCTAAATTATTTCAGCTCATCCATAGGACTGATTGGCTTAAAAAGTTAGGTTGGAAAGAAAGCCCTTTTTTCTTTTTCTTTTTTTTTCTTTAAGCTATGACTAGGAGTAGCTCAATAACATGCTTCCGGTCCAGCAAAATTAAGGACTTAATAGAGGAGCTGAATCAGCCATTTCCTTCCAATTCCTTTTGGTCATCTCTTTAGAGATTCCTTCAAATATTTCCAGAGATTTCACCCACTGTACCACTCTAATAGTAATTGCTTCAATAATGGCATCCTTAATCCTTTCTTTGAAAAAAAAGAATCCTTGAGTTCCTTTCTTCCCAAATTGTCCAGCAAGTGGCAGCTCTCTCACATATGTTAGACATGATTAAAGTTGTTTGAGCTTAATTCTAAAAAAAAAAAAAAATAGGAAGCTATTTGACATCTTGAATAAGCATGCAGCTTCGCAGCTTCTTGTATTTTAGCATGATTCGGAGACTTTGAAGTCTCCAGACTTTAATTTAACCTTCGTAATAAGGGAACCCAAATGGGGAGTTGCATTTGAATTTATATTGAAGTCTTCCATTAACTCTCATGGTAAGAGAAGACAAATAAGGAGTGGTATTTACAAGGAGAAATTCATTTCGTGGGAGAAACAAATCCAATTGGCGATTAGAACTTGCTAACTGTTAGCCTCTTTAATAAACAAGCAGGAAAAAAAAAATACAAGAATGGCATTGATACAGAGAACACCACCACACGACTCTAATTTTCCGATAATACTATGAATTATAAGTCCAATGCCCAAACATTGGATCGACATCAAGCCTAATTTCGAGGAAGAGGTCGTACCTTGGCGTCGCGGTAGTTGATGAAAACTTTCCCGGTTCCTTCCTGGAGAACGACGCGAGCAATGGCACATTTTCGTCGACCAGTTCCAATGATCGTCTGTGCGGCGAAGCCACCGGGAAGTCTGGATTTGATGTACTTTTCAAGGTTTGTGGTCTCCAAATCGACTGGAGAAGTAACCGTAGCGGCCGATGCGGCAACAACCAGGGAATGGGGATTGACAAGGTAGGTGTTTGGAAAGGATTTTGCCCGAGAGAATGGTAGATTTTGAGATTTGGGAGCAATTTGGGAAGAAAACGAGAGAGAAGATAAGGCAGCCGTGAGAGAGGAAACTGAGATGGCCGCCATTTTCCTTTTTGCTGCTCCTCATGTGTCTCGTTGTGGGATATCATATAGCCTGTGTGGAATTTGAGCGGGTAAGAAACGGATAATGAATGTTGTTCAAATTACACAGATACCCCTTGATATTAGTAATATTATTAGTGTCATTTACTTAGACACCCCTGTAATTTTATGTATTTATTAAAATATATCCTTTAATTTGCATATTATTAAACTATGCATTGAACAAAACCTACTTCTTTTAGTTTGCATATGATTAAAACACCCCCTTTTGCAACCACTTTAGAAGTAGAAAAGTTAGTGCAAGATGCTAATAAGAGAAGTATTAGAGGTATTTTTGGAATATAAACCCCATGCCTTTCAATATTTGTTCCTTTGTTTGAGAGGTCACGTGATGAAAATACAAACCAGTTAACACACCAACGAGCCAGCTCTCGGTTGGTCTTCTTCTTGTAATGATAATGATAAAGATGTAAAAATAAAAGTTCCATGAATCCAAATTTCCTTCATAAAATCCTCCTCACACCCAATTCACAACACTAGGGAGATATTCCGATGTGCAACTGCAATTTGATGTGAGGGGAGTGTGAAGAGGATTTGTGAGTATGAAATCCAAACTCAAGTTTCTTTGAAAAATTAAGGCTCCGTTTAGGAATAGTGCAAATGCTGGTTCACTTTGGTTCTATTTTGCTAGTGTTTGGCAATAATGCATTTGTGTCCTTACAATAACAGAAAACATAGATTCCAAGACATAATTGCATTCAAAGTGAGAGTAAAGTTCGCATCCAAAAAATGGAATGGATGTAGAATTTTCATGTACAATCAGTTTGCAAGAAGAGAAAAGGGAGTTGACATAAACCCTCATAATTCAATAGTTTGGGACATTTATACTTTTCCAGACCTACCACTATGTTCTTAGAGGTTTAGTTTGACCTAGAGTCAAATCGGGCCCTAAGGTTATATTCTACTTCGACTTGGAATCTTTGACCTAAAGACCCACCTCGACCTGAAGCCTTCGGCCTAGGGGTCTAATTCAACCTGGTGACTTGGGCTCATATGCCCTAGACTTAGCCCACATAGGCCCACACATCATATACATATACATTCTTAGCTCGGTTACCCAATAAGCCCATGGAGAATACTCTACTCTAGACTTATTCATGGGTCGGGTCCCCGGACGGGCTTGAACAAAGATTTGAGCCCACAGGCTTCACCTCAGGCCTAAAAGCCTGGCTCGAATTCATTTTGGGTCAGGCTTAGGATTTGTCAAAATAGACCGGCCTGACCTTTAAGTTAAACTAAAAACCCTAACCCTAAAATCCTAACCCCTCTCTTCTCACTCGTCTCTTTCTTAGTCTTAGCTGAACCTCAGTTCTCTCTTCTCAGTTTTCAAAACCTCACATTCTCAGGTAGACAGAACCGGCGAACAATCACCGACACAACCAGTGAACTCCATGGACCGGCGGTGAGTCCTCTCTCTCTCTCTCTCTCTCTCTCTGACGCGAACTCACTTCTCCTTTTCACTGTCAAAATCTCAACTCAACTTTATCAACGCGAACTCAGCACCCACGACCATCTTTCTATTAGGTCGGGCTTCAGGCCCAAGTTGTAGGCCCATTGGTCGGGCTGGGCTCGGTTCTAACAAAATCCTGTTTATGAAGAGTAAAAGCCCAATCAGACCCATGAACAAGTCTACTCTACTCTTGTTGGTGAGGTTGAATCTACTTGTCTATCTTTTTACGTGAAAAAGTGGTGTGGAGGTCAAGGAGACATGCTCCAAAAATTAGTGCACATGATGATGAGAAGCTAGATGCATGCCAAGACGCCATGATGCCCCCATCTTATGTAAGTGCACAGGGTGACGAGATCTGCTCCTCACAAATGGGCACCTCACAAGCACATCCACTGTGCATTGGGAACATCTCCCGTGAATAATAACAAATAAGTACAAGAGATGTCCCCAATGCATGATAGGATATGCGTGTAAGGCACCAGTGTGAGGAGCAGATCCGGTCTCGTGCACAGGTTGGGGATCCCATCACTAATATGGCTGATATGGCAAGATGTTATTAGCCATGCAAATAATAAAATAATGGTTTTTACAGTATTTGTGATGCCCTAGAGGGTTAACATGACTCATGGGTAGTATGGGGCCTACAATGGGACATTCATTAGATATTGCATGAAAATATGTGTTGAAATGATCTCTTGAGTATTTCTTACTCTTCTTCAAAAACTCATTATGATCCATCACATCACATTTCATTTTATTTTCTAGAATATTATTTAATTTTATTTTTTTCTCCCCACACTATAAATGAGGGTGCATGGAAGGAGCACTTAGATTAGGATGTTGGCCATGTCTCTCTCACCACAAACCATTTTCTCATCTTTTCATTCCATTAAGGCCCTTTCATGGCCTAAGGTCCCTTCTTCTTCTTTTCCAACAACATTGTGAAGGCACTCAATAAACCATCCTATATCATGGCAACATCCACAAATTCCAAGTGGTGTGGTAGAAAAAGGACCCAGCAACTCTGATCAATGTTAAAAAGGTATATCCAGGATTAGTTTTTGCACCTATCACAACTAAAAATCATTTGGCAAGAAATCAAATTTATCAATGCAAAACTAAACCAACTTTGCATTTGCATGGACCAAAATGTACTCTACATGTTTGTATTTGCACTCTTCCCGAATGGAGCCTATGGCTCAATTTGAGAAGAGTACAAATATGGGCAATGCAAAACCTTGTATTTTGTATGCCTAGACCTTATATTTGAGCTATAGAATATATTTGTACTTGTATTTCCAAGACTAAGGCTCGGTTTGGGAAGAGTACAAATACAATTATGTAAAATGCAAATATAAGGTTTAAAAATACAATATATATAAGGTTGTACATGCATGCATATATAAATGTTTACATATATAGTACTTATACATACAAATATGAAGCTAAGTCAGGTTTTGGTTGGATTGTGTTGGCCAAGGCTTCAACCCTAAGTCCCTAACCCTAACTTAAACTTTATCATGACCCTCCCAGCAATAGGATTTGATCCCAAGTCTCCACTACAATCATCAAGAGACATTGTTTACATATTGTTTAAAGTACCGCCTAAGTTTTCTGATAAATGACATTATTGTTATATACTAATGAAATGCCAAATTTGTTTGCCACTATTCCTCAAATTTTCAAAATAGAACCTGGTAAAAAATGTGGTAAGAGCATTGAATTATCTTCGAGGGGCTCGAAACTTATTGGTAAAAGCTATTGGCACAAAAGTCTATATGGGACGAAGTATAAAATTGTGATTCTCTATAAACATCTTGTAATACCCTCGGCATCGCTTAGGTATCTATCCCTCTACTAGGTGTGTGGTTGGCGCATGATATACACCAGATGCTTTGCTATCACAACAAAACAAAACTACATAAAACAACTCTATGAATTTATTTCATCCACTTATCCTTGCCGCCACGGCACAAGATGGGTGGCTGACTTCGGGTTCTCTCTTCTTCGATTGTTGCATCCTGTGTGGTGAAAAAACAAATATTTACACCTCTTACATTCATATACTAATTGATGACGAAATTATTACTTACCATGAGAACATCCCCAAACTTAATCTTTTCCTCAAGGTGCATAGTGTGTGCATTAATAGTGGCTGCCGATACCTCACCTACAACAGTATGGTTTTTAAAAATGAATCAGTGACCGAACCGGTCAAGGGTTCTGATGAGGGTGGATTTGGCCCTCCAGTGACATTGTGACACCTGGTACCTCATGCCAACTAAGTGCAGCCTCTTGACCACCAGGCAGCTCGCCACAGGCTCACCCTCATGTAGCTTGGCACCTCAGAACAACTAGGTGACACCCGGGACCACTTTGGCAACAACTTGCCTTTGCTAAGTTGGTGGTGTCCCACCAGGCGTAGCCTAGCACAGGCGTGGCCTGGCATGAGCTGGCACAAGCTGCCAGCCTGGCCCTGGCACGAGCTGGCACAAGCTGCCAGCCTGGCCCTGATGCAACCTGGCCCTGGCCCTGGCACGAGCTGCCAACCTGGCCCTTGCACAACTTGGCAGCCTGGCCTTG